GTTGACCAGCCCGCGCAGGAAGCCGAAGTCGTCGGCAGGCGCGGCCGCTCCCAGCTTCCGCACGCTCTCGAGGTCGAGGTCCCTCGCCACGTGAGCCGTGGCCGCGCACTTGAAGAGGCGGTGGTGGGTCGTCCCGAACCCGTCTTGGCACCAACGGCAAGCGGGCTCGCTCACCTTCCGCTCCACGTACAAGTCCATATGCGTGGGGAGCTCGCCCGCGATGAGCGACTTCAGGAGGGCGACCTCCGCGTGCTGGCCTCGCCCCCGCATGACCCCTATGGCGAAGCGGATGGGCCCGAGGTCGGGACCTTGCCCGCCAGCGCCTCGAAGCCTGGCTGGAGCGGCACGGTCCGCATCAGCGCACGGCGAACCCCAGAGGTGGCTGACCATGCGCGGGCTGTGCTCCCTCAGCTCTACCGCATGGCCCTGGTCGGTCCGCCACCTGCCCCAGGCCTCGGCAGCCCAGCCGATCCTCTGCAGCGTGAGCCTCACCGCTCCTGAGGGCCCCGTGACGTGACCCCACGACGGCGGGGGGTCACCCGCCTCGAAGACCTTCGCGAAGGCGGCGGCAGGCCGGACACCCAGGTAGACCGCTCGCGCCCAAGCCACCAGGGGCAGCCCGTTGGCGGCGAACGCTGGGTCCAGCCGCCAGCTATCTCCCTCGCCCAAGGCGAACTGGACCGTGCGGGACCGCCGCCTGGCCCCGCCTCGCAGTGCCCTCGCATTGACGGTGCGGGCCTTGCTGAGGGCGGCCGAGGGCACCCCGCGCACGCGGGCGCCGTGCAGCACCGTGGCCAGCCCGCCCGATCGGAAGACCGAGCCCAGGCGCACCCCAGCCTTTTTCAGCATCATGAACCTGGAGGCCCGCTTCCCCAGCTTGGACAACCTGGCGTGCAGCACCGCCCGGGAGGCCCGCGGCCTCATGCCGAAGTCGACCCCCAGGTTCTTGACCGAGGCGCGCACCTTGAACTGCCAGCGCCGCAGTCGGCCCTCCAGCCGCTTGGCCGCCTCCGCATGGGAGGAGACGATCGCCCCCTTGGAGAGCGAGATTGGGAACCTTGCCTCCTCCACCAGATGGCACGCTGCGCGCGTGGCCCCGAAGCTGGCGTACTCGACGTCGCGCAACTTCCCGTGGACCGAGATGGTCGGGTCGTCCACGACGGCGAACGGCCAAATGGTCTGCCACGCTTTGACCAGGGCGTCGAGCGGGCCCCGAAGCATCACCCGCAACAGCGCGGTGTCGCTGCACCCCGCCACGATGGAGGTGCCCAGCCGGAACGCCTCCGACTTGAAGCGGTCCACGCAGAGCCGCCGCGCCCCGCCTCAGACTCGGAGCAGCAGCTTAAGGCGGCGGAGCCTGTAGCCATACCGCCGCGCGGCCTCCACGAGCCCCGCGTGCGTTACGCGTTCGTTCGCACGGGAGAGGTCCAGCAGCATGGACATCGACTGCAGCTGCAGCGCGCGCGCGTGGTACACGTCGAAGGCCTGCTGCCAGACCGCGTCCTCGCACGATCTGCCCACGCCGCCGAAGAAGTACGGGCGATCGCGATACTCCTCCCAGCTGCGCGCTCCTCCTCGGCAAATGCGGCCGACGAGCCTCACCAGCCCGCAGAGGAGGCCGATGGGCTTCCAGCCCCCGTCCGCGTTGGCGAGGAAGAAGATGAACACCTCGCTCAAGGCCCGAGGGAGGAGCGTGGTCATCTGCACCACGTGGAGCATCAGCCCCAGCGCGATGAGCCCGTCGGCGCAGAGGTGCCCGAAAGAGCTTGGCTTGACGGCGTCCAACCCGCACGCCGTCCCCTGCTTGAACTTGGCCGCCGCGGCCAGAATCTCCTGCGGCGACGGCGGCTCGGGGGGCGGCTCGAGGAGGTCCTCGGGCAGCACGGTCTCGAGGTCGAGGGGTTCCACCTCGCCGCACCTCCAGGTCGCCTGGTACTCGGCCTGGAGGGCGTCCATGGTGGCCGCCATCCCTGCTGGGGACTGGGTTGTCCCACCCAGCGCTGCGGTGTCGGGCGCCCAGCCCCGCGGCGCGCGGCAGAAGCCATGAGCGGCCCCCTCCTGCTGCTCCTCCTCCTGCTGCTCCTCCTCCTCCTCCTCCCTCCTCCTCCTCCTCCTCATCATCATCATCATCCTCCTCCCTCCTCCTCCTCCTCCTCCTCCTCTTCCTCCTCCTCCTCCCCCTCCTCCTCCTCCTCCTCCTCCTCCTCCCCTCCTCCTCCTCCTCCTCCTCCTCATCATCATCCTCCTCCTCTTCCTCCACCCCCCCCTGCCCCATTGACCCGCCAGAGGCCCTTGGACATGGAAGTGGGTCGCGTTGGCTCCACAATTGGGCGGGCAACATAAAACTCAGAAAGGGCATGATGATTGAGGGCATGGTACCTACCTTCTGCCAACCTTCTTCGTGAGCATGCACTTCCATATGGATTGATTCTCGCTTGTCCTCAAGAAAGTCAATGAGCGGTGGTCCTTGCAGGTGGACACGATCTCTTCAATATCAAGCCTCTGGATGAGAACAACATGGAGCACAGGAGGCACGATTCAAGCACCTCCAAAAGGGGGTCCAGTTGAAACAGGGTGGTGCAATAGATTTAGGGCAATTGGATTGCACATGTATTGCGCCAGAGAATACTGTTGGATGGCATTGCAAGTAATGTACTGCACACGAAAATCCATCAATACATTTGCGCCCTGGAATGTGCTGCAGGCCCCAAATGTATTGCAGCACCACAAATACATTGCACCAAATCTATTGCACCACCCACTTGTCGCTGGACCCCTTTTTGGGTCAACCCGAACGATGCGCGACGTGCGGCGGGTAGCCTGACGTACGGTACGGTCATTCACTATCATTGCGCTCAATTTCCCAGTGTCGCCCTTGAATGGAACACACGTCGCCACTCTTTGACGCGGTTCGACAAACTCCTCGTCGGGGGCGGTCGGTGTTCAGGGGAAATTTGGTGACCGAGTTTGGAACAGGTCCGGCCGCGAGTGAAGCACTCGTCCAAACCCAACGCAGGGTCACAGACCACCCCCACCCCCACCCCTCAACCTCCCACCGCGCGGAGCCAACTCCTCCCGACAAGCAAAAATACTAGCGAAAACAACTGGTACACGCGCCCGTCTTCCATATCGCCTGATGCTGAAAAGAATACATTTGGCACGCTTGATGCTGCGTCCCATACGCCATGCTAATTTGATGAACCGCGTCAGACAGCTCCCACCAAATATCTCACGAACATGTTCACGACTTCGGATTCCAAATCGTAAAGCAATACAGCTCAGCTCTTGACTGGGTTTCAAGCGCGACCGGGAATACCGCATTCGACCTGGCCACGCGGAAGTGAGTGGACAAAGAACGGGCGAGCCGAGGCGAGAAAGGAGCATGAGAAGCGGGCGTACGCGCCTTAATTTCTCGATCGAAATTCCACGGTGTTTCCCCCTCCTCGTCCTCCTCCTCCTCCTCCTCCTCCTCCTCCTCCTCCTCCTCCTCCTCCTCGTCATCATTACCATCATCGTCACAATCATCATCACCACCATCAGTTGCATCACCGTCATCACCGTCCGCACCACCACCACCACCACCACCATCATCAACAACATCATCAGCAGCAGCAGCATCGTCATCATCATTACCATCATCATCATCATCATCATCATCATCATCATCATCATCATCATCATCATCATCATCATCATCATCCGCAGCAGCAGCGTCATCAACATCATCATCATCATCATCATCATCATCATCATCATCATCATCATCATCATCATCATCATCATCATCATCAGCATAGTCATCATGCTCACACGATGGTTTCTCCGAGGCCAGCGTCGGAATGTATCCGAATACGAAAGGCAGCAGCGCGCGCGCAACACTGGGGCCACGGGCAGAACACATTCAATACCCGAATTACACTCCGTCGCGCGGCCCCACGGCCACGGCGAAGCATTGCAGCGAGAGACAAGGATTGGAGGGCGGGAGCTCGAGAGCCGAAGGATGCGGAATACAAGCATTCGGCCTCTCTCGTCCTTTAGAAACAGTCAACATCAAAAGAACAGACCATGCCCGCGATGGTTTCTCCGAGCCCAGCGCCGGAATGCATTCGAATGCGAGAGGCAGCACCGCGCGCAACTCTGGGGCCACAGGCAGAAAACATTCAATAGCCGAATCACACTCTGTCGCGCGGCCCCACGGCCAAACCACCCCGAAACTACAGGAGGACTTATCCTCCCTGTCGGCTGCCAAGCCACGCAGACGCCATGGAAAGGGCACCTGACTGCAAACGGGCATTGACGAAAGCTCTCGCCCATCTCGCGGCGAGCGGCTTCGGGCAAGGCTGCGCAACGAGGCCGCAGAGCCCCTTCTGGAGCTCCACCATGTTAAAAATGACGAGGTTTGCCAGTCCTGCTGCAACAAGTGCAAGAGCCAATACACAGTCGAATCCGCCGACCCCTTGTGGGTCCCTAGGCGTGTGAGATAGTTCCCCCCCCTACAGTCCCCCCCCAGGGACCCCAAACTGGCGATTTGACCCCCCCCCCATGGCCCCGCCCGAGCGACTCACGGAGCTTCTTTGGGCTCAAAAGTCTCTCAAGGCGGCCCAAGAAGGCCCCAAGACTCCTCCAAGACGGCCCACGAGGGCCCCGAGACGCCAAACGAACGCTCCAAGGCGCCCAAGATGGCCCCAAGACGGGCCAAGAGGCCTCCAAGACGGCCCATGAGGCCTCCAAGAGCAGTTCTCAGAAGGGCCGAAGAGCCGAAAATCTTCAAATTCCTATGGAAAACGTACATTTTGATCATATACGGCTTCTCGGCCTTCACGGCGTTGAACACGGTCCAAGAGCACCCCAAGACCGCCCCAAGACGGCCCAAGAGGCCCCCAACACGCGCCCAAGTCCGCCCAAGAGGGCGCCAAGACAGCCCAAGAGGCCCCCAGGACGGCCCAAGAGAGCCCCAAGACGGCCCCAAGAGGGGCCCAAGAGAGGGAGCCCGAACTGACATCCCGAGCCTTCCGCCCCGAGACGGCCCTAAAAGGCCCCGAGAGGCCCCAAGAGGCCCCCAAGACGCCCCCAAGAGGCCCCAAGAGGCCCCCCAAGAGGCCCCAGAACGGCCCCAAAACGGCCCCCAAGAGGCTTCGAAACTGCCTCCAAGAGTCCCGCGAGAAGCACCACCAGAGATCCCAGCGATCATCGCACAAGCGGGATTCGCGCTCCCGAGGCGAAGAATTCCAAAACCATGACCCAGAACATTTCCTCCGCGTCCCCCTCCTCCTCCCCCTCACCCGCCTTGTCCACGTCGGCCCCCCAGTGGCGTCAAAACTGCTTTCCAGAGGCCCCCGAAAGGAGTGCCGCGAAATTCCGATACACATACAAGAACCTCTCACCCAAAGACCATAACCCAGAGCCTCCTCTCAGTGTCCCCCTCATCCTCCTCCTCAACCACCCTCTCCTCGTCCCCCTCCTCCTCGTCCCCCTCCTCTTGTTCATGGCCCGTCACCTCGACACGTTCGATGATTCTCCCCTGTGTCCTCCGCCTCACCCCCCATTCTCCTGTCCTCGTTCTCCTTTTTCCTCAGCGCGCGCGCCCGATTCGGCATCATTTGCAGGTCTTGCACTTCAGAGTGCCTTTTTTTGCGTCGCGCGGGACATTGTGAGGGTCGGGGAACGCCGACTTCGGTAGTCTTCTCTTGCACGCGCCGCTGCACTGATACGCCTGGCAACTGCGGGCTGTGAACCCGAGTGCCGCGCAGCTTCCGCACACCACCTTTTTTTGATTCGACCATCGATGATGTTCTTTTTGGCTCTGCCTCAAATGTTTCGTGTCTGAGAACGCTCCTCCGCACGCCGCGCACGTCAGCGGCTTCGCTTCCGCCTCGGCTCTCCGTTTCCTATTATTGGACTCAAGCGTCGTCCTCTGACGTTCTTCCGCGCATTTCCGACAAGACGGCACCAAGAGGGGCCCAAGAGGGCAACCAAAAATTCAAAAATCTAGCTTCCCGCCCCCACGAGCCCCAGGGGGCCCCAAGAGTGCCCCAAGAGGCCGCCAGAGGCCCCCAAGAGGCCGCCAAGACGCCCCAAGGAGCCCCCAAGAGGCCCCCAGGAGGCCTCCAAAAGACCACCAGACGCTTCCGCATTGCGAGCCGTCAAGCCAACTGCAATGCACTCCGCGCATGCAGCCTTGCTCTTCCTCGCGACGTGCTCACAATCTTGCTCGGCGCTGTGCTACGCGACGCGCTGCTGCTACGCGAACTGTTTCGTGCGCGCTGCGAACGTCAACAGCCTCTTCACCCGTTTCGACTCATCTGCCACATCTTTCGCGGTGATGCTTCGCTGATCACAGCTTCCGCACGCTACTCTTGCTCCTTTCGTCTTCCGGTGCTCCTCCACTTGGTTGAGGGGCGAGAGGCCGACCTCCCAGAAGGACACCCCGCACCCGGGTGCACAGCACGCAAAGCGCTCGCAAAACACGCCCCAGACCACCGGCATCACGCAAACATGTGGACCCCCTACGTATCTGCCACCACCCGCGCGCGACACCGCACCCTCACACAAGACGCCGCTGGCCAGAAACTCCTGGCCTCGCAACAGTCACAGAAGGGGTCGGCGGATGTGGCGTAAGCCTGTAGAATAAACGCCCCCACATACACACGGTTCCCCAAAAGACCCGTGGGCTTCTTCCAAGGGGCCCCTCCTTCACAATAATACGTGAACGCCCAAAATACACGCGTTTGGTTTCGAAGCCGCTGGGCGAAGAAATGAGCCACAGCCTAGACATTGCGAATGGAATCTGCATGCGCCCACACAGAGGCTCTCACAGAATATTACGAGCCTGTTTGCCAACGCGATCTGAGCTCTATCTGCAGGGTGCGCCACGGCCGCCAGGCTCCAGATCTCGTCGTCGGACCTCAGACTGCTGGGCCAGGGCCCGGCCTCGCCCGGCGCGCGATGGGGCCCAGCATCTCTGATCCTGGTCCACGCCCGGCAGGGCGCGCCCAAGCGCGGGCCCCAGATGAGTCCAGCACCCAGCCAGCCTCGCAGCAGCCGCGTCACTCCGGGAACTGTCAAACCCCAGTCGAGCCCCCAGGCGATGCCCCACTCGATGACGACGGAACCCTCCTCGCGCAGAGCATCCGCCAGCACGCCCGCGCCCAAGAACACCTCCACGAAGAAGGGCGGCGCCAGGCAACGCCTGCGGCTCGGCCACGGCAGCCTCCTCAGCGCCAACTGAGGAGCGAGGCCCGCCGAGCGGGGGCCAGGAGGGCCGCGCGCTGCACGGCGGGCGCCAGCCCCTGCAGCTGCTCGTTGACGCGCCCGGGCTTCAGATACCAAGCGACCGACGCGTCGGTCCTCCAGCGGCCGCGCAGCATGACACTGGCCAGAGTCCGCAGCTCCACGGCCAGCTCCTCCGACGGCCGAACGCCTGAGCTGGCACATCTGCGGCGCCAACGAGGCGACGGCGACGTCCTCCGCCGCCCGCTTGAACAGGGCGCTGGCCTGCAC